GGTGACTTATGTCACTTCTGGTTTCATTTATTGGTCAATTTTTGGCTGCCCCCCATCTCCCCATTTTTGAAAGGTTTGAGCATATATGGATGGGAAGTTTGAGAGTTGTGAGATCAAGACTTACATTTTGCAGTAGTTTTGAGAATCCATTTTGAAAAGGCTTGGGAATGAAAAATTGCCCCAAATATTTAAAAAGTAGGGGAAGGACGACTAGGGGAGTCAGGGGCCTGAAGTTACACTTTACTCACATTTGCTCTAGATCAGTGACTCTTAAACTGCAGCCCGTGGACCATCATTGGTCCCCAAGAACTTAAATATGGTCCGCAGCCTCGTTACTACATCGTTGCAATGAGAGCAACTGGTCTTGCAAAACTCTCTTATAGTGCCGAGGCTTATTAAATATGATTTTCTATGGACGAGCAGATGGTGACTACTGGATAGCATATGTTCTATATCAGAAACTAGAGCTGATGTGTTCTATCCAATGTAATTTTCTGAATCAGCACCCCAAATAACCAAACTGAATCTAAAGTTGACCAAAAACTGATTTGTAACCCTTTTGGTGCTAATGTTGGAGAGTGGTCCCTGGTCAAACTGGTCACTGGTCAAAGTTTGGGAACTACTGCTCTAGATAGATAGGTATCTAAATAGATAGTTAAATAGTTTTTATTCATCTCTCTTTCTGAACTTCTCTCCCCACAGGACACTCTTGGGGGTCGCTTTGATGCCACTCAAGCCTTTATTGGGGAAATCTCAGATTTCAATGTGTGGGGCCATATCTTGACACCAAGCGAAGTTTACAAGATGGCAACCTGTACCAGCTTCATTGGTGGGGACCTCATCAACTGGGCTGAAGCCTCTATGGAGCTTCACGGAGGAGTGGTCAAGCTACCATTTAATGCCTGCCACTAAGAGGCCATGAAAAACAAACTGACTTTGGGGATTTCTTGGAGGAGAGTGAAAACTAGTAGTTAATGACAGGGCAGGGCTGGGAACAAAACCCCCAGTATTTCCTGAAGAGAAAAATCATATGTTTTTTTAAAAAGTGAATAAGGGGAAAACGATTCCTGGAATCCTTGTGTGAAAATAAATGGGAGGTCTTATACTTGGCGCAAGGGGGCTTCTGGATCTCCCAAGTGAAGAATGGGAAGCATATAGCATGCTTTATGCAAGAAAGTCTTAGAGTTTTAGAACCAGAATTCTGGATAATTTAGCAAGGGTGCCTGAAAAAGCCAAGAAAAGCAGGGGAAAATAAGAAGATATTTACAGTATCTGTCTTATGGAGAGGTTTTATGGAGTAGAGCATTGTTGTTAGATGATGATACCATATTTTGAAATAGATATAATTTCATTAGTGTATTGAAGTAAATGAAAACTCTGGCATATCCAGTAGATGTGGCTGTGCCACAGGAAACTGTGGATCTGTCTTTAATAAGGCTGTGAAAGGTGGCTTAAAACGTGGGAATCGCCAACCTTTAACAAACCTAAATGTGCAACTGCCTCCCACCTAGACAAGCAGAAGCCTTAGTTTGGATTAGTAGCTTAATACTGTTGCCTTTGTGGAATATGCTTCTGCAAAAGCACCTTTTGGTCTGCTCTTTATTTATATATATGGATATATATTGATAATATATATATACACACACATATATAAAATACGTGCCTCTGCATTTAATGCTTCTCTGTCTAGGTAGATTCACCTGACTATTTTCCTACTTTTCCACTTGTTTTAGTTGGATCTAGTGTTGAGTTGCACTAGGTTTGTCTGAATGTAAACTACAAGGGCTCCTGAATCTTTAATGGTTTTCCAGAAGAGCAACTTTTAGCAAATGTTGTTCGCTAAATGGTAACGTTGCTTGACAGGTAAAGTTGCTTGACAACTCCTGCTGAAACTCCATCTTCTTCACAACACTGTGAGAGCTGAGAAACTGTGGCTTGCTCAACGCTGCATGGAGTTTCGGATCCTGGCATCCTAATGTCCTGGTCCAACACTTAAACCACGATACCACACTGGCTTTCCCCTCATTCGATTTCACAGCAAGATGCATGTACCTACAGATCGCACTTTCCCACACGCTGTGGCAGAATATAGGAAGTTCTGAATACCACTGACAATCACCATTTAAAGTGACTTCTGCAATATATGCATTACAACACTAAACCGCGCAGACCAAGTTGAAAGGAAGTGGCCCGGAGCCAAATCAACATCCTTTATGCAAATTCAATCTAACACAACACAAGATAGCAGAGAAATATTGGGGTCTATTTTGAATGGGTCCAATATATAGTTTAGTATCTTAGGATTTAGGTATATTTATTTACTTATTTGCTATTGTAAATAGAAAAGGGCATGTGAAGATTTTGTGCTAAAGATCATGGGAGTCAGCACATTTGATTCTCCGGAAGTTTAACAAAACAGGAACAAATGTGAAAAGATCAAAACACATGAAAGCAGTTGCTGTGGAGGGACGCAAGTTTATAGGTCCAATGATGGAACACGAATAATGGTGTATGAGATTTTCAGCCCTTTCAACCTCCACATAGGCATAATGCAGTGTTTTTCAACCTTCCAAATGCTATGACCCCTTAATACAGTTCCTCATGTTGTGGTGACCCGTGAACCATAACATTATTTTCTTCATGACTGTAATTTTGCTACTGTTATGAATCATAATGTACATATCTGATATGCAGGATGTATTTTCATTCACTGGACCAAATTTGGCACAAATACCTGATACACCCAAATTTGAATACTGGTGGGGTTGAGGGGGGGGGGATTAATTTTGTCATTTGGGAGTTGGGAGTTTCTGGGATTTATAGTTAACCTACAATCAGAGAGCATTCTGAACTCCACCAACAATGGAATTGAACCAAACTTGGAACACAGAACTCCCATGGCCAACAAAAAATACTGAAAGAGTCTAGTGAGCATTGACCTTGAGTTTTGAAGTTGTAGTTCACCTACATCCAGAGAGTGCTGTGGACTCAAACAATGATGGATCTGGACCAAACCTGGCATGAATGCTCAATATGCCCAAATATGAACACTGGTGGAGTTTGGGGAGAACAGACCTTGACATTTGGGAGTTGTAGTTGTTGAGATTTATAGTTCACCACAATCAAAGAGCATTCTGAACCCCACCAATGATAGAGTTGGGTCAAACTTCCCATACAGAACCCCCATGACCAACAAAAAATACTGTGTTTTCTGATGGTCTTTGTCAACTTCTGTGACACCCCCCTGGTGACCCATCCAGGGACCCGACTCCCAGGTTGGCAAACACTGGCATGATGTATGGCTCTATCTCTTCCTTGCCATAGGCCTCTGCAGCAATGGTCCAAGGACCCTAACTTTGCAGGGCTTGTTCATTGCATTTTGAAAATAAATAGGAATAAGTATTACTATTAAGGAGAGCGGGTGGGGATATAAAATGAATATGAAATGACTTAAGTGCACCAACGATCATGTCTCTCCACATCATTTCTGTTTGGTTCTAAAGTTCAGAATCTAAAAGATATGAGAGGAATGTTGCAGATTCAAGCTGAAAGAACGCTTGCTAAAATTAACACCCAATGTCTTCTCTTCTGTATATATACATATGCATGTATAAATATATATATATAAATTTTCTTAGCATAGGATTTTCTCTTTATCTGCTTGTAAATAATGGGATTTTATGTGGTTTGACAATGAATGTTTTCTCTTTAAAGGGGTGGGTGGGTGTGACACAACATTTTGAATTTTCTTACTCCATTCTGGATTGCAATAAACCTGCCAAAGAAACCGACCCTTGTCTTTTCAATTAAGTACCTATTTATTTTGTACTAGCTGTACCCGCCACGCATTGCTGTGGCCAACCTTCCTCTTTCTCTCCTTCCTTCCTTCCTTCCTTCCTTCCTTCCTTCCTTCCTTCCTTCCTTCCTTCCTTCCTTCCTTCCTTCCTCTCTCTTTCCTTCCTCCCTTTTTTCTTTCCTTCTCTCCTTCCTTCCTTCTCTTCCTCTTCCCTTACTTCCCCCCTTTTCTTTCCCTCCCCCAGTCTCCCCTTTCTTTCTTCTCTACCTATTGGACTACAATGCCCAGCAGTCCTCCTGATTGATCTACCTACCTATCTATCTCCATCTATTCTATCTGGAGGATTGTTGGGAGTTGCAGTCCAGGAATCAGAAATGGGAAATATGCAAGAATTGAGATGCTCTCAAATAAATCCAAGGAGAAGAAAGCTTGCAGCTTGCAAGCAGTGCATTTGGATCATCCTCATCTCCTAAAGGGCCCGGTCTAGGGGATGCTGGAAGCTGTAGTCTGAAAGAGTGTGGATATGCTACTGTGTGTTTTGTTTGCTGGGGGAGTCGTTTTTGCTTTTTTGGCTTTTTAAGTCTCTTCCGCTGTGTTTTTCAGTGGTTTTATGAGTGATGGTCACTTGTTCGCCTGATAAGTGTATTGTGTCCAAATTTGGTGTCAATTCATCCAGTGGTTTTTGATTTACGTTAATCCCACAAACAAACATTACATTTTTATTTAGAAAAGTGATCCTAAGAGCTCAACGTTGTTAGGAATGGTGGACCTGGAGGGCCAAAGTTTGCCCATGCCTACTTAAGAGACTGAGTGAACATGTTTGGCCAATGCGTATTAGCTATATTTAATTGAGAATTACTCAAGTGGAGTTATGGTTGTGCAGCATTGTTCCTGTGTGTTGTGCTTCATCGTACATTGCACATTGTGTGCCGTGTATCAATTGTGCAACATCACAATCCTGTAATATGTTGGCATAGTGCAAATGAGACATAACACTGTGAGTGTAAAGTTATGCATTGGCCAGAATTCGGTTATGGAAATCTGTATATATAAATATACAAATATCATTTTTGGAGGGTTGGTATACCTTTTCTCTGCTCAGCATACAAAGCATGTCAATTTACTGATAAGCCAATGATGTTGCCACACATGGCCATTTTGTGCTTAATAGAAAGTATGAAGGCTTAGAGAAGGATCTAGCTACCTCCTCCATATTGTTTCAAGCAATTTCTGACTTGGATGTTGTGTGGTTTCTGGAATGTATGGTTGTATTTTAGTAGCATTTTCTCCTGATGTTTTGCCTGCATCTGTGTCTGGCATTTTCAGGGGATCCTCTGAAGATACCAGCCACAGATGCAGGCAAAACATCAGGAGAAAATGTTGCCAGAACACGATCATGCAGCCCAAAAACCACACAACACTCCTGTGATTCTGGCGGTGAAAGCGTTCGACAATACAGTTTCTGACTTATGACAAACTTAAGGTGAATCGACCTTGGAGTTTTTTGTTTGCCAATATTTGTTCAGCCAGGGTTTGAGGCTAAGACCATGTGACTTGCTCAAAGTCACCCAGTGAATTTCTGTGGCCAAACAAGGGATTCAAATCCTGGTTCTAATCCAATTCTCAAATTTTGGCTCTGAAGGGTAGGGGATGATCAATATATGATGATAACTAGAACAAAGATAAATAAAGATAACATCCAGTCAATATTTTAGGACCAAATTCACAAGGAAGTGGAGGCTGAAAAAAGAAATGGACTGATTCTGGAGAGGAGAAATTTCAGCTTTCTTCTGGCTCATACCCAGGCAGGTCACTTGCTTGTTCTTGATCTCATTAGCAATGGCTCAGGCCAGATTTGCCCCCTTGGCAGTGGGACAGACATGCAAGGTCACCAGAGCAGCAATGTATTAATAGCATAATGCAAGGAGGATGCATTAACTTACAAAAAGATTAACTTGGTTCCTGGGAAGAGGAATAGGGGAAGAAAAACTGTCAACTTCCCCCTAATATCCTGGCTTTGGGAGCTGTAGTTGCTTCCCCGCAATGACGTCATTTCAGATTTTATGTCCTTTTTTCTGCTTCTCAAACGAAACAGGAAGCCTTTTCAATACAGTTGTGGTGCCTCCCAGATTTGTAATACTGACTTGAAATAACCAATGTCCCCTGCTATGCAGTATAAATCCTTCTCTTTATTCTGAATTGCGAAAAAAATAATTTAGGGATCAATTCCTCTCCTACCACCTCAATCCTTCTCAGTTTTCTTTGACTCCGAGCACAGGGCAAATACTTACTCCCATTTGGAACAGCAAGTAGGAAGAGAGGAGAAGTTTCTCCTGCCACTGCATTAGCTTGCAATATGCTACTTCCAAGCTAGTTGGAGCTGGAAAACATTTCTTCAAGTTACATTTTGAGCTACTAGATGAAATGAAGCAATTTTACTACTGTACCATTTTAGCCCCCTGGTGGCGCAGCGGTTTAAACCACTGAACTGCTGAACTTGCTGACCAAAAGGTTGGCAATTCAAATCTGGGGAGCAGGGTGAGCATCCGCTATTAGCCCCAGCTTCTGGGCACCACTATTCAAGAGAGACATTGACAAGCTGTAATCTGTCCAGAGGAGGGCAACTAAAATGATCAAGGGTCTGGAGAATAAGCCCTATGAGGAGCAGCTTAAGGAGCTGGGAATGTTTAGCCTGAAGAAGAGAAGGCTGAGAGGAGATATGATAGCCATGTATAAATATGAGAGAGGAAGCCACAGGGAGGAGGGAGCGAGCTTGTTTTCTGCTTCCCTGGAGACTAGGACGTTGGACAATGGCTTCAAACTACAAGAAAGGCGATTCCATCTGAACATGAGGAAGAACTTCCTGACTGTGAGAGCCGTTCAGCAGTGGAACTCTCTGCCCCAGAGTGTGGTGGAGGCTCCTTCTTTGGAAGCTTTTAAACAGAGGCTGGATGGCCATCTGTCAGGGGTGATTTGAATGCAATATTCCTGCTTCTTGGCAGGGGGTTGGACTGGATGGACCAAGAGGTCTCTTCCAACTCTTTGATTCTACGATTCTGCCAACCTAGCAGTTTGAAAACATGCAAATGTGAGCAGATCAATAGGTACTGCTTCTGCGGAAAGGTAATGGCGCTCTGTGCAGTCATGCTGGCCACATGACCTTGGAGGTATCTACGGACAACGCCGGCTCTTTGGCTTAGAAATGGAGATGAGCACCGCCCCCAGTCGGACACGACTAAATGTCAAGGGGAAACCTTTACCTTTACTACCATTTTTGCCAGGAGAGACAGTGTGGTGTAGTGGGTTCGAGCATTGGACCGTGACTCTGGAGAACAGTTTGGCTTTAGACAAGTTCAGTGCTCTTTTTCCCAAGAAAGCTCCATGGTAGGACTGCCTTAGAGTAGCCACAATTTTGAGATGACTTAAAGCCACGCAACAACAAAACCTTTTCCAACAAATGGGATGAGCTTTTTTTTTACTCAAGGAAAGAGAGCTCATTTTACCTAGACTGAGAGTTAGTAGTGGCTTTTCTGTATGAATCAAGTGGGTGGAAACTGGGACTGAGAAGGACAACTTGCTTGCAATTTTTTCAGAGGACGCAACCGTCCAAAACCAACAAAAGGTCAACTTTCTTAACAGGAATCTTTTATCAGAATAGAGCACTCTGTAAAATTCATTTTGGGGCCACGGTGGTGAAATGGGTTAAACCAGGGGTCCTGAAACGTTTTAAACAGAGGGCCAGGTCACAGTCCCTCAAACTGTTGGAGGGCCGGATTATAATTTGAATAAAACATGAATGAATTCCTATGCACACTGCACATACCTTATTTGTAATGCAAAAAACACTTTAAAACAATACAATAATTAAAATGAAGAAAAATTTTAACAAATATAAACTTATTAGTATTTCAATGGGAAGTGTGGACCTGCTTTTGGCTGATGAGATAGGATTGTTGTTGTTGTGTGATTTCAAGTCTTTTCAGACTTAGGTTGACCCTGAGCAAGGGCCGGGTAAATGAACTTGGAGGGCCATATCCGGCCCCCGGGGCATTAGTTTGAGAACCCGTGGGTTAAACCCTTGTGCTGCTGAACTGCTGGCCTCAAGGTTGGCGGTTCAAATCCACAGGACAGGTTGAGCTCCCACTATTAGTCCTAGTTCCTGCCAACCTAGCAGTTCAAAACATGCAAACGTGAGATCAATAGGTATAGCCTCAGTGGGAAGGCAATCATGCTGGCCACACGACCATGTGTCTATGGACAACACGGGTTCTTGCCTTGGAAATGGGGATCAGCCCTGCCTTCAGAGCTCTAAATGAAAAGGAGAAGCCTTTGCCTTTGTCTGTGTATTTGTGTGTCATTGTATTTCATTGTAACAAGATATTGAATGTTTGCCTGTGTCTGTTTATATGCTAATATTTATTTATTTATTTATTTGATCAGTCATATGACCATTCCAAAATAGAACATGAGTAAAAAAACAAGGCAAAAAGGCGAGGACAGCAGCTGACCTTCTATTTATAGTCGTCAGAATCTTATTTTCCTGGTTCTTCTTTCAGGAAATCTGCTCTTTTCTTAATAGCTTTCAGAATAAAAAGGCTTACTCTGATTATGCTGGATCTTTCCTGCCCTTGCAAGAGGGATGTCAGAATATCATTTCTGTTGGGGGACCTGCAGTTGGATAATATTGGATGCAAATATCTGTCTCGCAGTTCAGTATATGCTGGACAGTCAATGAAGAAATGTTCAATGTCTTCCACTGTTTGTTCTCCCCAGACGCAGAATCTCACTTCTTGGGATGTTACAGTAGCGCCCGGTTTGCACCATAATACTCAGTTGTTCAAACCTAGCCCTAGTATATATTCTTCTTAAGGGTAGTGGAAGTGGAACAGTTAGGTAGTGCTCTAAATGAGTATTCCTTTTGTGGGAAGCTAAAAACCTTGTGGCTGAAGACCTACCTATGCTCTCTAGGTCCAGTTGTGCATAGACATCCCGAATGCGCCGCTTGAGCACTTGCCCTGCCCCCGGACCCAAAACACCCAGAAATTGCAAAGGCTGTTTATATGCTGTAATCCACTCTGGGTCCCCTCAGGGAGAAGGGCAGAATATATATAAAGTGTTGTTGTTGTTATTTGCATGCTACAGTTGAGACTGGGATAGGCCACTGAAGAAGAGGCAAGGATCAACTTTCAACCCTATGCCCTTCTGGTGGGCTGCATCAGCACACCAAAGCCCCCAGACCCAATAAAAATAAAGACATTTCAGGGTGAGCATTCTACTCTGAATAACTCGAAACCCCAAATCCCACGCATCCTAGAAATGTGCCAGAACACCTCTGCCACACAAATAACTAGCTGAAATTGAAACAAGTAGGGAGTAACGTAAGTAACAGAACTTTTAAAAACTCAAATGAGGATATGAAAGTCTACATTTACAATAAAAGAAACTGGTTTAACAGTTAGGATATGGGCCTAGTGAAGCCCCGGTGGCCATTTTAGATTAGGGAAACAGGGAGACGTCATCTCAGGTTAGGTTTTCTTAGAGGGGGTGTGTCCTTGTTAAGGAAGAAAAGGGTAGATGGCCAGGATTGGTTAGAATAGGGGGCGGAGCCTAATATTCAGATAAAGGGGGACAAAGATACCTTTCTGAATTCTGAGGCTTGAGTTTGGCAGTTGGGTTTTGACAGTTGGAGTTTGGGGATAGCAGTTAGGAATTGAAAAGGGAGAAGAAGGAAGTTTAGCTTGTGATAAATTCTTAATAGTTGCTTCAAGGAAGAACTATGGGTGTAAACAGACCCTGGAGAATTGGGCTGTTTGTACTGGAGAATCTGTTTAGTGGAATAATAAGAGTTTCCCAGTTTAAAGGTTTTGACTGGAACCTGTCATTCAAGCACTGGACTACTTCTGAAACCATCACACATTTGTACCAGAGGAACTTTAAACCTGTTAAATAAATGTTTTGTTATAGTTAACTCCAGAGGCAGCCCTAGGTAATTTTTAATGGTAAGCAAACAGTATTTTGGCAACCCCCCCCCCCCCCCCCAAAAAAAAAAACAATCACTATATTAGGCTTGGTTGATCAAGAAAAAATTTGGTTCTAAACTCATTTCGTATCTAGGGGACGCCAGCGCTTCTAATCTGATTGGATTTCCAAAATGTCGATATTTACGAAATTTTGTAAATATACGAATCGATTCCTTAATGGCAGACGTGATTGCGCAATACGTGAAAAAAACCTCCAAACGGGACAGGGGGAACTTCTGAAGCTTCCCTCTCCCTCTGTTGTTGACTGTTGGTGTGATAAAACTAACAACAACTATATATATTATATTATCAAAAAACTGTCCTAAGCCCAAAAGCAGAAGATTAAGTCAGAATGAGATGTCCATCCAAAAACAATCCGAAGTCAGAATGGGAGAAGACGCGAGAATCACGAGGCCTGGCTTGGAAGGAATGCGGCCTAAGCAGCGCTCCTTCCTAGCCAGGCCTCTCGATTCTTGCGTCTTCTCCTGCGAGACAAAGTTGTCTCGCGGAAGAAGACGCGAGAATCGCGAGGCCTGGCTCGGAAGGAATGCGGCCTAAGCTGTGCTCCTTCCTAGCCAGGCCTCCCGAAAAACGCGAAGCCATGCGTGGGAGCTCCTCAAGAGCGCCCTCCCCCCCAGATGGGCACCCTACGCAAAAGCGTACTTTGCGTACCGTCTTGGGCCACCTCTGGTTAACTCTTTACCACAGCCTGTGTGTGAATGTCATTAATATTTAAACCTCTGAGGAAAATAAACCCCATAGTAACACAGAAGAGTGTTACTAAGTATCCTCTCAGCCTGAATATTAGAAAAGGTGGCAGCATACCCCAATTGAAGAAACAGTTACAAAACCTCAGTTCAGACGTCATTCAGAGAGATATATATATACAGTTATATTCTCCCCTGATTTATCAGTCTCCCTCCTGTGAGTTCCTTGTAAGTGTTGGTAGCTTATGGGATTTCACTAATTTTAAAATTCCCTGTTCCTCCTTCCCTGAAAAAAGTAGTTCCTTGGGTATAAAGCCTTTACATAAGGCAACTGATAAAAATAAGGACTCCGGCAACATATAGACAAGTCTGTAGTGTTTATATATCATCCAGAGATGCATACAATAAAATCTTAAATAATAATTAACATTTCTTCTTTAAAAAACAGATATCGTCATTTGAAATGGATTCCAAAACCAAAGAAAATGCCCTTCTTTTTCTCTCTCCTTCTGGAACAGGTGAGGAGTTTGCAAAATTTCCCCACATCCCGCCACACAATAAAGGGATACAAATCCACAATGGGAAGTGGGGAATGGTTTGCTAGCGATATTGCTGAGAAACATACAACTAGCTCTGAAAGGATGAAAGACGGGATCGTTCCAACGACCCCAATCATCCAACTGTCAGTTCTCTGTGTTTTAAAAGTATGTTTTCCAAACCTAATAGGATAGGAACTTCCTCCCGATTTCCCAAACTGAAATTTTGGATTTTGAAGGGAGCAGAAGCTGTTTGTGGCGTTTGGGAGAAAAGTTATCAGGGGGGAAAATGCTACTTTGGGCCAGAGGAGATGTGATATTAAATAAATATTTGCATATAACATGTACACTTTAAATTAAAATCTAACTGTTTTCAAAATAGAAATAAAGGTTACTTTAAATGGATTGTTGTAGTTTTCAGGCTATATAGCTATATTCTAGAGGCATTTTCTCCTGACATTTCACTAGCATCTATGGCAAGCATCCTCAGAGGTAATGAAAATGCTGGCCATAGATGCGGGCGAACCATCAGGAGAAAATGTCTCTAGAACATGGCCATATAGCCCAAAAACTACAACAACCCAGTGATTCCAGCCATGAAAGCCTTCGACAATACCTTACTTTAATTCCTTTGAACAAAAAATATTTCAATTAATGACTGGAGCTTTTATCTTAATGCAAACAGAGATTTGGGGAACGTAATTTTAGCTATGGCTGAAGTAAAGGGGAAAAGAGCACAAACTTTTCCATTTGCTATCATCCAGATAATTTTCAAGAACAATTATTCACCTTTATTAAAACATCTGTTCAAAATGTTTGGCCTTGACCTTGAGATGGAGTTCACCCAAGATCTAAAAGAGGGGATTGGGCTAATATCTGTGAAAAAGGCAGTGCTGCCTAGTGGGAATGAATGCAGTGAGGAGATGGATTAGTTATCTAGCATTTCCTAGAATGGAGTTCGATGAGTAGGCCCTCGGGATCCACAGAGGATTGGCTCCAGATACCAAAACCTGCAGATGATCAAGTCTTACTAAAAATGGCAGTGACAAGAACACGGACACTTCGGTTTCTTCTGGAATCCCCCAAATTCCTGCTGGTCTTGCCATCTCTTTCTCTCACAAGCGCATAACTATGAATTCGCTCACTGAGGCAAGACTTTCAGGACTTTTTTCAATCCGGTCAGTTGAATCTATGGATGAGGAACCTGCAGATACGGAAGGCCAACTCTAGAACAGAAGGGGCTGTTAATATCTTGTGATTTCTGGGAAGAGAGCAATGAGACAGGTGACCTTCACAGTGTCTAGTTCAGGCATGGGCAAACTTGGGCCCTCCAGGTGTTTTGGACTACAACTCCCACAATTCCTAACAGCCTACCGGTCCAAAACACCTGGAGGGCCCAAGTTTGCCCACACCTGCTCTTGTTGATCTTACAAGAAAATTGTAAGATACAGAATGCTAACTACAATTTTGGATGTATTCCAAAAGTGAAAAGATATTTCCAAGTCCTGTTGGCACCACGAAATAACTTAAATGGGGAAGGGACCTGACTAGCAGAATCAGTTATATACTAATGTAAGTACATTCTGAGTAGACACATTTAAAAATGCCTGTTCTAACTTAACAAAAGTTTGGATTGATTTATTTTAGACCTTCCCAAATGTAGTTCTTTTTCTCTCCTGTGCTAACAGGCTAAAATGAATCAATACAAACCATTTTCTTTCCTTGCTGTCTACTTTCACTTTGTTTTCGTTTCTCCTGCATTGAAAAAGGGATAATAACTGTTGTTCCTGTTTAAGAGGCAACCAGTTCAGGGTGATGTGTGACATTGAGAATTAATTACTGGTGTTTAAAGCTGAAACCAAGCAAGACTTGGATTGGCTATTAAAAGATTTCCTGCAGATGTGGAATACTGATCAGACTGAAATGCACATGGACTAATACACTGCCACGTTCATGAGCTTAGCCCCTTTGCAAGATCGGAGCTTTGCGACAAACTGATTTGCACGTATCCTGCTGAACTTGAGCTGTTGGGACCATCTGAGGCAAGGCAGTGGCAGACAACCAAAGTTCAATTTAGAAGTGAGAAAAATTGTGGTAAAACAGACTACATATGATTTTAGCAATATCTGTCTGAGAGCTAGGTCGCCGTCTTTCTTCTGGGTAAAGATATTTAGTAATCTCACTTCTTGTTTTCTGGACAACCAACACAGATGTTAACCCTAGCTGCAAGTTTCAGCAGAAAGTGGAAATTTTGGTAAATTCCAATATTTTAACAATTCAGAAGCTAATGCTTATTAAAGTAGCAAAATACTACACATGGGGATTGCCTCATCTGTATGGGTGTTGTTTTGGGGCCAAAGGGGAGAACTTTCAAATCATTTTTCCCAATTTCAATTCCATCTCGAAAAAACACAGTCATCCCGCACCCCTTGCATGTACTACGGGATCAGGGGCAGATCCTGACCAGTGTGCTACACCGATTATAATGCCAGTATAATCAGATTCCTCCGTAAAGCAATGGAAACATCCTGGATTAACTGCAAAGGGAAGCTCCAGTTCTCTTGATCATAGATCTCAAGCAGAAGAGAGACAAGATGGGTTCCAGAGGTAATCTTCGGCTGAATCTGCAAAGGTTGAGTGGGGGTTGGGAGTATTTCAACGTTGAGGAGATAAGAGTTAAAAGGACCTGACGGTTCCTGACCCTGTTCTTGGATGCGAAGTGTCCAGACTGTCAGTTGCGCTGCTGTGCTGGCAATTCTTGCTGGAGGAACTAAAGTAGTGTTCAAAGTTGTCAGTGGGTGTGCTGGTTGTCTGGGCCTCTTCTGTCCTCTGCTGGTTGCTGGTATGCTTATCTTTGTAAACCCAAGCCCAAGACAGAGTGTACATAGAGCCCATATTAGAATGAGAATCCCAATTCCCTGGATACACAGTGTAAATGGTTTGGCAACAGACTCAAAAGGGGCATTCTGTACTTAAAGCTTAAGAAGTGGACAAAGGCTCCTTTGGGGCAAAATCCACTTTCCACCACATCCCAGTCATAATCAGATAGTGAGCCACACTGTCTTCCAAATTCTTACTCGAGCGCTGTAAGAGATGTTTTGATTCCCATTCTGCATCGGCTGGTGGCTTCCTTTTACGTGGGACAATAAACGCACCAGGTTTTAGTTTGATCTCTAAATACAACTATCCAAGATGTGGAAACCATGTTGGGAAGAGCATCTAGGAAAGCTCCTAGAAATTCTGAGCAAAACTAGAGAATGGATTCTCTATCTCATTGACATGAAAACCATCAATCTCCTTCTCTCTCCTCTCTGTTGATGCACAGATCTCAGTCGGTACATATAAGAGAACCCTGCACTATGCAGTGTATGAGGGTACACTAATGCAAGCATGTGCAGACCTGGTCTCACACCAAGTGTGGCCCTAGGAACTGAAAATATTGTGCACTCTCATTGCTCTACCAACATTAGGGCGAGGCTCAGGAAATAAAGAAACAAGGAATGTGGGAATCAAAAATTCCACAAAGCTAGAATACCAGAAAGATAAGCTAGCTGAGTTCATCACAGCCTTGGTGTAAGTGTGGATGTTCTGTTGCTAAAGGAGTCAATTGGCTTTAAGCTTGAAGATGAACAGGAACAATCATATCAGTCAGGAAATATTATCTGAGCGCGGCCCACATTTGTAGTCCTCATGGTCCCAATGGCGGAAGCCAGCACTGAGACTTCTGCCTGCATCTGCTGAGGGCCTCTTCAGAGAAGAAAAAAATGCCATCACCAATAAATGATGCTGTCATACTTTGTCAGTTGTCCACAGGCAAGTCCCTGCAGGTTGAGTTGAAGCTCTGGAGATGTGAAGAGAGCACCTGGTGTGCCGGCAGGAATGTTGTCAGACTGGCAACGCTGTGAGTGGTCCAACAATCCAAAGGAGGAAAGGGAGCCCACTGGTTTCATGGAGATCAACCCAGGTGGGTTTGTCAGCAAGTCCAAGAGGGAACGCAGGAGGGGACACAGAGGGGTGAAAGGGGGAGGGAAGGTGGCAGGTGCAGGAGAATCCCCACCTCATGCCTGCTCTGGCTTCTGCTTCACTGAGATCCGTTTCTTGCGGGCAGCCAGCATCTCATAGAAAGGATCCACACTCACAGCAGCCCTGGCAGACAAAAGGAGAGTGCCAAGGTAAGCCATCAGTTGGGCTGCAGCTAAGGTATGGAGAGACAGCCTCCCCCATGCCATACTGCAATTTGAAGCCAGTGTGGTGTGAGGAATAATAAGTGTTAGATGTCCAAGCTCAGGACATACTGGTCTTATGGGAAGGAAATGTAAGATACTTGCACACTTGCTCCCTAATCTGAATAACTTGATGCTATTTGTCTTCGATTCTGAGTGGCCCGAACCAAAATAATTACTGGTTAGCATCTCACAGAGTTGAACTCCAACAACATATAGGAATCACATTTGGGGCCCATTGGGTGAGTTAAGTTTCTTTCTTCAAGTTTCTTTCAAGGTTCCTTCATTCGCAAATGGAAGTCAGTAGTATTCTACCCTTTGTTGAAATCTCACAGCAGAGCCATTTGTTTAGCAAGTGGAATTTGTAAAGCCTCAGAAGATATTATTGCAAACGAATGAATGAAGGATCCTTGAAAGAAACTTGAAGAAGAGATACTCCTTTTGAAACAAGGACATAAAAACACCCGGGAATCTTGTTCTATTCCCAAGACTGTTTATCATATCTTGAATTTACATGGGACAATATTGGATATGCTAAAGTTTGTCTACATAACCTATGGAAGATTTGACAAATTATTTGGAAAAAACATGAATAATATGTGTGTTACACTGTTGTAAATTGTCCCTATGTATTTGTTTCCCACGCTTATGTATTATATGACTTAGTTTGGTACTTTTCTCAATACTCCAATTGGTATTTGTGCTGAAGCTTATGGCAACAGGACATTTGTGTATTAACATTGTATTTATAAATATCTGTGTTGTTAGAGCCCACTGGGTGAGAGCATGAATGGGGGTGTCACAATGAAATATGATGTATGGTTTGAATGAACTCTATGGAAGGTGTATGGATGGGGCCTAATTTGGCTGAAGACATCATTCTAAAAGATTAAGGCCTGCAGCGACAAAATCATTAACTACACTCAGGAACTGTAATTAAAAACTGCTGACATTGATAAGAACTGTGACAAATGATTAACTGTTTAACTTTTTTGGGGGGGGACGGGGGACGGATGTATTTACATTAATTAGAGACAATGGCACTTTTAAGTTAAGGATGCTAAGAAGGAAGGCAACACAAGGCTGCTTGCGTTACTAACACCAATCAAGAAGAGTCAACATCTGTCCGGAAACTGAGATGACGCCGGGATGTCTCAGGATGGAAAACATCTTATCATTAATTTACATTAATTTACAACTTTGCGACGACATCAGGAGAAATATTGCTGTGTGACAGACAGTGGAGCTGGTCACCCGCTATGCTCTGCTCCATAAGGAAGTAGAGATATAGTGTACCATGGAGTGACAGATTTGCTATGGGAAATCAGGATTCTGGGTACTTGCTCCTTTTCTCAAGGGAAGAGGAAGGAGCGTGTTTTGAGTTTTTGATTTTGTGCATGGAAGTCAGGTTTGCTGTATGAAAAAAGGAATCTGATTCTTGGCATTGTTCTTAGGGATAGGATGCATTTTGGCGCATTGGCCGATTTGTAAGGAAGAAGTTTGTCCTAAGAGATGTTCTTCACAGTGGAATAATGGTGAAATGGTGATGTATGCATGAGACTAACTAAATGTATATGTGTGTGAATGAGTAAAAATGTAATTCCCTTTTGTTTGTTTGTTAACCAATATAATTATAGGTTTGTGAAATCCAATGTAATTACTAGGCATGGTTAGGTACCGTCAGAATCGTCGTAATTTGGAATAAATTTGGAAAACTATCTTTTTGAAGCAATTATTGAAGTTTTTAAGAAAACTGGAGGTCCCTTTGCCCTTCCAAAGCTTTTCCCTCCATTTTTATTATGACTCATGAAGTGAGTCGGAAATGATTCAGCTTTTCCCCACTTCTGGTCCCTGGCCTTGTTTAAGCCAGAGAAGACAGTTTTAAACCAGAAAAGGAAAGAATTTCCTCCGCTTGCTTTTCCCTGCTTCTGAAGTAAAACTACTTTCAAAGTAAAGACCACCCAACGAAACAGAAAATAACATTTTCAAATCATTAATGAAAGGATTTTGAAGTCTCTGAAGTTTCGAAAAGTTTTGAACATTTTTTTCTGTGAAAATCAGAATTGACTTTAGAATCGAACTACATCTGAAACGGGTTTTAAACCATTTTTTTTAATCAAAGATGCCTAGTAATTACATAGATTCAGCATGTCTTTATGTCCAATGTAGTTCTTTGTCTAAATGTTGTTCTGTAAAAGTTCTGATACCCTTTCTCTTACTGAAAAATTGCAATAAAAAGAACCTATGCTTTGAAGTTATTGAAAAGTTATTCATAAAAGGGGGGGGGGGGGTCTGGGATGCTGAAAAAGGAAACTGAGACTTATCCTCACTTGATGGATTTGATCCACTCATCCTTCTCCTCCTGCGTAGGTGCTGAAATTCGATAAACCATGTGGTTTCCTTCAACCACACGCCCGTCTGCCTCAGTCTTGCAGGCTTTGATTAGCTGCCCTTTGTTGTTGGGAATGTAGAGCTCAAAGCAGTTCTAAATCATTTGAAGGAGGGAAAAAAATGAAGCCTGTTACAAATTCTGGCCTTTGGAAACACCCTCTAACTAAACCCCATTCATCAGACAGGAAAGTTCATATAAAGCAGCTTCACTCACTGGTTTCCGTGGGTCTTCCACTTCTCGGATACTCAGATTTTCCAAGGGAATGATTCCTCTTGGCTCCTTATCCTAGCAATGAATTTTAAAAATATGAACAAAATGGAAGAGTCCCAATCACCAAGTAGATGGGGTGCAGTTGGGGAAAGGATGTGGACCAAAAAACCCCAGATTTGCTTTGACATGTGGGGGTAACTCTACCAACCTCAGTGTATCAGACCTGGCATTCCACTGGGAAAATAAAGGAATGTGTTTCCTTCAAACCCATTGCACAAGCCCTACTCATCTGTTTTACCTCTGAGCCTTTGGGCTCATACATGGCACTCCGATGTTTGGAACCAAGTGTAATTTATGTCCATGAAAGTAAAAGAAATGTGAAAGGGACCAGGTGGGCATGGGTGCTGCTGGGTCTGTTGACACAGATGGGACTGAACATGGCTCCTTTCTATGTTCTTCTCATCTTTCCATTCATGTCCTAAGTAAACCGCAATCCTATGCCAAGTACTAGAGCATCTGCAGTGCCAAAGCCTTGCGGCACCGCTGGTTACTTTTGTCAGAAATATTCAAAATTAACTAGATATTTTTAATTACAAAAATGGGGGTCAAGCACTGAAAGGGTTAAATGGATGCAATGATTCAGCAAAAACTGTTTTTTCTTTTCGTGTCAGGAGTGACTTGAGAAACTTCAAGTCACTTCTGGTGTGAGAGAATTGGTCGTCTGCAAGAATGTTGCCCAAGGGACGCCTAGATGTTTGATGTTTTACCATCCTTGTGGGAGGCTTCTTTCATATCCCTGCATGGGGAGCTGGAGCTGACAGAGTGAGCTCAACCTGCTCTCCTCAGATTTGAATCTCCAACTTGTTGGTCAGCACAAGGGTTTAACCCATTGCGTCACTGGGGGGGGGGGCACCTGTAGTAAAAAGCTGTGCCTGTTGCTTACAATTGCCTCACTCTGAGAGCGCTCTCAATGTGAGAGAAGCCTCTATGTGTGAGAGAATGCCTCTGTAGGGGAATAGGTCTCAGTGGCAGTAGGCCTCACTGTGGGAGAAAGGTTTCAGAGTGTGAGGTAGTCCTCATTATGAGAAGGCCTCATGTGTGAAGCTCCAGTGTGAAGGGTGAACTTTATTTGTGTTATGGAAACCTTGTTTATGTAAATACTGCAGCCATATTATTTTGCTATAAAGAAAAGCCTCCTATGAAAGAGATAACATTGGTTTGTGCGTTTTTCTTCTGTTTATCACTTTGGGCTATTGGTTCTGGGTCACACAGCTGCTAAGTTACTCTGCTGTGTGTTTATGAGGAGGGTCTTTTGTTAATTAGCCCACTCGCCCATCATAGTTTTGCAATGCCAGGATTCCCATTATTCCCCAAAGCCCTTCCTGCTCCTAATGTACTACATAGCAGGTCATAGGATTGTCATGAATTCCATGTGACTGATAAAGGGAGGATGGGGTGGAAGAAGATGGAGAGGGAAACTGTACTAACTGTAGTGTATTCAAAGTAATAGAGGCAGTTGTCAGTCAAGATGAACCAGCGTCTCTTCCACGTCTTCACTCGCCCTCCTGAAAGGAAAAGCAGGGAGATTTGTGCTCGTCTTTATGTCCCTCCTTTAGGCTGCTAACCAATCCCCAGACTTCCTTCCAAGTCTTACAGGAGGAAGCCATGCTTACAGATAAATCCAATTCAATAAAAACATAAGGAAAAAAGGAGGAAAACTAATGAACAAACACGGGAGAAGATAGAGAAGGGGTAGCACTGCTATGATTTTGGCAACAGGAATTCAAAAAAATCAAACACAATTGCAAGCAGGGAGAAATGTTTAGAGAACAAGCAACCATGTAATCCTTTGCATCATAAATGTTGTTTATTCTGGCAAGTATGAATGTTGCAATTAATCACACTGATTAGCATTGCAAAGCCTTGCAGCTTCAAGGCTTGGCTGCTTCCTGCCTGGGGGAATCCTTTGTTGAGAGATGTGAGAGGAGGTGTTTCCTCCTTTCAACAGAAAGGAGGAAACCATGAAAATGAACAAATACCAGTATTTAATAGGTAGGTAAAGGTTTTCCCCTGACATTAAGTCCGTTCGTGTCCGACTCTGGGGTGAGGTGCTCATCTCCATTTCTAAGCCAAAGAACTGGCATTGTCCATAGACACCTCCTAGGTCATGTGGCCGGCATGAGTACAAGGAGCACCATTACATTCCCGCCGGAGTGGCTCCCCAGTATTTGATACCAGTATTTTTAAAACCTCTAAAATCAGGACCATAAATAAAGAACAACACTCTGAAAACAGGGGAATTCCAGACATGAAACAATCAGGGCCAGCTAATACTTCCTAACAAAGGATTCCCCCAGGCAGAAAGCAACCAGGCCATGAAGCTGCAATGCTTTGCGATGCAAATCAAGGTAATTAATTGCAACATTCACACTTGCCTCCAACAGACAAGAGTTCTTTCTCCCACTCTGGACTTTGAACAGATATATAAACCTCCCTTGTCTAATTTCCAATATAACTCAAAAGCTTTAGACGTGGGCGAAACGGCAGGAGAGAATGCTTTTTGAACATGGCCACACAGCCCAGAAAACTCACAACAACCCATTGCTATAGCTACTTAAGTAAAAAATAGAACCCACCCCATCCACCTTACATAATTAAAAATTAACACAGCAATACTCCAGTTAGGAAGTGAGTAACAGAATGACGTATTTTTGAAAAATGATGTTCCAAATTCTGATTTTGACTTGTGCTTAAGCGCTCCAATGTCATGTCAAACATTTACTGGTTTCAGACTACATCCTACTCAGCAAGCAGGGCACTGACCTAAAAAGAAAAAGCATAGTTTCCTGCTGCTTCTGTGAAGCAAGCAGACCTGTTCCTGGCTTTAGGCTTTTCATTCAATTGCCACTGAAAGGGAGGAGGGAGGGAAAGGCAGAATTCCTGGCTTCCAATATGCCGTTGGACTAAGTGCAACCCCTCTGGGAGTCAAAGTTTGCTGATGCACTGGATTCTTCTCAATAAAGGCCAATCTGCAGATACAGAAAAAGGCTCGGGGGGAGGGATGTTGCCCGCTTCAGAATGCGAACCAAGCAGCAACTACAGGCTCAAGTCTAGCAATGTCTATGAAGCTGACTTGTTCCCAGCTCCTTCTGCAAAGCCAATGGCGATTCCCAGTTTGAGACAAGGGAAGTCAGACTTGGCCATGGTAGTCCACGCTCTGGTTACATCCCAAATAGACTACTGCAATGCACTCTATGTGGGGTTGCCTTTGAAGACTGTTCGGAAGCTTCAATTGGCGGCCAGACTGCTTACTGGAGTGGCGTACAGGGAGCACACCCCCCCCCCCCGGTTGTGTCAGTTCCACTGGCTACAGTCTGTTTCCAAGCACAATTCAAAGTGCTGGCTTTAGACTATAAAGCTCTAAACAGTTCTGGCTCAGCTTGCCTGTCCAAATGTATCTCCCTCTATGAACCATCTCAGAGGTTAAGCTCATCCGGGAGGCCCTGCTCTTGGTCCCMCCCCCCTCAAAGGTGCGACTGCTGGGGATGAGAGAAAGGGCCTTCTCAGTGGTGGCTCCTTGATTATGGAACTCCCTTCTCAATGAAACTAGATCAGCACCCCCCCCCCCCAAACACACATACCTTCCTGGCCTTCAGAAAAAAAGTAAAAACTTGGCCATGGGACCAAGCCTTTGGGCAGTAAGGAATACAAGGAATGATCAGGGATTATGTGCAATTGATATTTGGAATGGCATTGGACCATGATTTTTGGATTATTTGCTTTTACCGTTTATATTAATATGTTTTGACTCTGGGTTTTAATGTTTAAATGCTACATTTTTATGATAGTTATACGTTATTGTTGTTTTATATTAGGTTTCATATGTATATAAAGCATTAAGTTTTGCCATAAATATGTTGGAAACCACTTTGAGTCCCGTCCCCCCATCCCCCCAGGTGTGAAAGGCAGAATACAAGTAAATAAATAATAAATTTGTATGTGTGGCTAGGGTTTACCTAAGATGCTTCCAGTATTTATTTATTTATTTGTTTGTTTATTTGCGACATTTCTACCTCGCCTTTCTCACCCTGGAAGGGACTCAAGGCAGCTATACATACAGGCAATGATTTGATGCCCTTAAAACAATGCACACTTAAATAAATATTAAAATAGAATTAAAAAGTACATTAAAACAATTAAAACATTTAAAAACAATACATTAAGAGTTAAACACATAATCCACAAGCATAATTCGGGCTGTTCCATTGTTTCAAGACTATTTATTGCGCAAGTTCTCTAAAGGCTTGATTACAAAGCCACGTTTTCACTCTCTTGCGGAAGGTCAGGAGGGAGGAGGTTGATCTAATATCACTGGGAGTTCCACAGCCAAGGGGTCACCACAGAGAAGGCCCTGTCGGGGGGTGCACTGAATGCGATTTTCCTGTTTTTTTGGTGGGGGTTGGACTGGATGGCCCACAAGGTCTCTTCCAACTCTGTGACTCTCCTCTCCACCAATCGCACCTGTGGGGGAGCTGGGACCGAGAGCAGGGCCTCCCCAGATGATCTTAAACTCCACAGTGGTTCATAGAGGGAGATACGTTCAGATAGATAAGCTGGGCCAGAACCGTTTATGGCTTTGTAGGCTAAAGCCAACACTCTGAATTGTGCTTGGTAGCAAAATGGCAGCCAGTGGAGCTGATGTAACAGGGGGGTTGTATACTCCTTGTATGCTGCTCCAGTGAGCAATCTGAGTGCCATCCGTTGGCCCATTTGTAGCTTCTGAACAGTCTTCAAAGGCAGCCCCACGTAGAATGTCTTGCAGTAGTCTATTTGGGATGTAACCAGATCATTGACTACCATGGCCAAGTCTGACTTCCCAAGGTATGGGTGCAACTGGCACACAAGTTTTAATTGTGCAAATGCTCCTCTGGCAACCACTGAAACCTGGGGTTCTAGGCTCAGCAATGAATCCAGAAGAACTCCCAAGCTGCGAACCTGCATCTTCGGGGGAGTGTAACCCCTGTATATGCTTGTGGGGGGATAGAGACCACTTTGGGGAGCCTGGGATTTTATTCAGCCTCACCTCCAATTCCAGTACAGTTTCCCTCCCCACCTATTAAGTATTGTGAACATATGGCCCTTCAGATGCTTCTGGAGCGCAATTCCCAACATTTCTCACCAACAGGAGTTACATTCCAACATATGAAGGACCACTCTTCCCTCGTTGCTGATGAAGATCATTGCTTAAGGACTCCTTGTTTATCACTTGGTGTCCATATTAATTTCCAGCAGAATGTGTTCCGTGACCTCCACATTCTTAACTGTCCCTCCTCCCCAAACAACAGCCCCCCATTCCCTCCTGGCGAGCACCGGGCAAACCAGCTCTGATCTAAAAGCAAAATGCCCCCTCGGCACACCTACCTCCTGGGTTGGGGGCAGTATTCAGACAGTAGAACATATGTAGTCCGCACCGTGGGATGGTGGAGGAGAGAGGGGGGCAGGGCAGCAGTGGTGGGGAAAGAAGGGGGAAGAGAGAGAGAGAGTAAGGTGGGGAACAGGGAAGCCAGGATAGAGAATGGGGGTGAGAAAGAGAGAAAGGGAAGAAGAGAGAGGAAGAGAGAGAGAGAGAGAAAGGAGAACAAGTTACATCAACATAAGGTAGAAGTACATGGTCAAATCAAAAATCCTCCAACACAGACACAGGCATTTGGGGCGGGGTATTAGGACAGGGTTGGAGGGAATGGGGGTGGCGGGCACAGGGAAGAAGGGGTTTAAACTTGATTGGGATGGATATAAGGGAATAGGCCCCTTACACTTTGGCACGTCATTTGAAAACCTAACACTAAAATTTTAAAGGGCACAAGTGCAGCCATGGTGTTCTCATTTCCAGACCACAAGGAAGCTTGGGCTTTAGCCTTTATTTATATTTGAACCAGGTCAGAAATCGGGGTTCAAGCCCAACACCTATAATTCTATGCCTGTTTAAGCTCCTTCTTTGGGAGCTTATGGCAAAAGCTTTGGCTCTCCCCTCATACCAAATATTGTTGTTTTGCCTTCCCCCCCCCCCTTCCATCTTAGTCACATTGCTGGGATCACGCAACGACTTCTCTCCTTTTGTGTTCTGGCCTGATCTACTCTTGACATTACCCTGTCAGTGCCCTTGGTGGCGCCATGGGTTAAATCCTTGCGCCGGCAGGATTGCTGACCGAAAAGTCGGCGGTTCGAATCCAAGGAACGGGGTGAGCTCCCGTCTGTCAGCTCCAGCTTCCCTTGCAGGGACATGAGAGAAGCCTCCCACAGGACTGTAAAACATCTGGGTGTCCCTGGGCAACGTCCTTGCAGACAGCCAATTCTCTCACACCAAAAGCAACTTGCAGTTTCTCAAATCACTCCTGACATGGAAAAATTATCCTGTCAATTGGAGGCCTTGAATATGTTATGGCTTTTCCTCCTGAAGCCAACTACTATATCGTCTTGGTACTCCATCCAGTTTGGAGAAGAGGAAAGGATGAGACAACCATGCTCCTTATGAGACAGGTAAAATCCAAGATAACGGAGAACTACTGTATATACTCGAGTATAAGCCTAGTTTTCCAGCCCTTTTTTAAGGCTGAAAAAGCTCCCCTCGGGCTTATACTCGAGTCAAGGTTATTTATTATTTCACTCTATTATTATTATTATTATTATTATTATTAATTATTTTGCCCTCTTTATTATTATTGGAAGGATACGTAAACACATTGAAGAAGGTTAGAATAATGGTTTTTGTCAGAGTTGGATAGTCTTATCTTACAGTTTTAGGTAAATATTAATAAACATTTAACCTACTGATACTTCAATTAATATAATTTTATTGGTATCTATTTTGATTTTGAAATTGACCAGTAGCTGCTGCATTTCCCACCCTCGGCTTATACTCGAATCAATACGTTTTCCCAGTTGTTAGTGGTAAAATTCAGTCCCTCGGCTTATATTCGGGTCGGCTTATACTCGATTATATACGGTACTTTATTCAGAAAGCGTAGACGCTCTGCAGCTTTTGTTTCTATCCTTCATGATCTCTACTTTGAACAGCCCCCAAAACTGGTGAGCTTGGAACTGAGAACAGGAGGTAAGGTATCCAAGTAGTATGTCTGACCTTATGGTAGCTAGCCTGACAAGGCATTAGGCACCAGATGCAAGTGATTTCAGCCACCAACACTTTACTCCCCATGCCTCCTACCAGCTCTCCGTTTCCACAGCAAGCTGCACAGACTAAATGCTGTGCTATAAGACGCCTGCTTGACTCCATGCTGCTGGATCTCAGAGGTCAGGAGCAATCCCTGTCCAGCAAATTCCTTCCTGAACATACAAGTCGTTGCACTGGAGTTTGCTTCTCATTCTGAACAAACTGCTTTTGGTGTGAGGAAGCTGCCAAGGCTCGTGCTAACATGTATCTGAATCCCTTTCTTGTTTTTGTGTCTATCTACATCTGATCACAGTGAACTGTCTCACCTGGACCAACAACCAACTCCCTCTGAGTTCCAGAATGCAATCGTATCGAGGGCTGGCCTTTGTCAAGACAAGATACTCCTCTTTATTTCTGGAAGTGACATCACAACCTTACATTGGGCACCTCAATTGAAGGGAGATGTTGACTCTAACCTGGAATGTGTCCAGAGGGGGGCAACTAAAATGATCAAGGGTCTGGAGAACAAGCCCTATGCGGAGCGGCTTAAAGAGCTGGGCATGTTTAGCCAGCAGAAGAGAAGGCTGAGAAGAGACATGATAACTATGTATAAATATGTGAGGGGAAGTCATAGAAAGGAAGCTTATTTTCTGTTGCCCTAGAGCAGGGGTCAAACAAACTTTTTAAACAGAGGGCCAGGTCACAGTTCCTCAAACTGTTGGAGAGCCAGATTATAATTTGAAAAAAAAAATGATTTTTTTTGTCGTGTCAGGAGTGACTTGAGAAACTGCAAGTCGCTTCTGGTGTGAGAGAATTGGCCGTCTGCAAGGACGTTGCCCAGGGGACGCCCGGATGATTTGATGTTTTTATCATCCTTGTGGGAGGCTTCTCTCATGTCTCCGCATGAGGAGCTGGAGTTGATAAGAGGGAGCTCATCCGCCTCTTCCCGGATTCGAACCTGCGACTTGTCGGTCTCCAGTCCTGCCGGCACAGGGGTTTAACCCACTGCGCCATCGGGGACTCCTATAATATATGAATGAATTCCTATGCACGCTGCACATATTTTATTTGTAGTGTAAAAACACTTAAAAACAATACAATAATTGAAACGAGGAACAGTGTTAACAAATATAAACTTATTAGTATTTCAATGGGAAGTGTGGGCCTGCTTTTGGTTGATGAGATTGTTGTTGTTATGTGCTTTCAAGTCGTTTCAGACTTAGGTTGACCCTGAGTGAGGGCCGGGTAAATGACTTCAGAGGGCCGCATCCGGCCCCCGGGCCTTAGTTTGAGGACCACGGCCCTAGAGACTAGGGCGCAGAACAATGGCTTCAAACAACAGGAAAACAGATTCCACCTGAACATAAGAAATAACTTCCTAACTGTGAGAGCTGCTCAGCAGTGGAACTCTCTGCCCCAGAGTGTGTGGAGGCTCCTTCTTTGGAGACTTTTAATCAGAGGATGGATGGTCATCTTTTGGGGGTGCTTTGAATGCGATTTTCCTGCTTCTTGGAAGGGGGTTGGACTGGATGGCCCACCAGGTCTCTTCCAACTCTATGATTCTGACATATCTCTTGCCAAGGGAAGATTCAATACCCTCTGGAAGCTGCGTGGCGGCAGACATTGACCGAGTAAACCACAGGTCTTTGTCTACAGGTCTGCCAAATGTGGCCCCTTCCTCGTGTGAACATTTGCAAGCCTAAAGGCAGCTTGAATAGCAGACACTCAATATGGGATTGGACTAAGAATTCAGCATCTGGAGAAGCTGCTCTTTTGTTTTCAAAAGCAACTTTATTGCCCTTGTTAATGCATAAGGTAGTTTTGAAAACATAGCGGGAATTGCCTAACCACCAGATACCAGAAAGGGTCTTAACAGGTCTTGCAATGGCAGTGGACTTTCAGCAACATCTGCCCCTTCTTCAGCAGATTCCTGCATGTAGAGCAGTGGTTCTCAACCTGTGGGTCCCCAGATGTTTTGGCCTACAACTCCCAGAAATCTCAGCCAGTGGGTTGCTGTGAGTTTTCCAGGCTGTATACCCATGTTCCAAAAGCATTCTCTCCTGATGTTTCGGCTGCATCTATGGCAGGCATCCTCAGAGGTTGTGAGGTCTCAGGCCCCTTCCTTTCCCCCCTCAGCCGCTTAAGCGGCTGGGGGGGAAAGGAAAGGGCCTGAGACCTCACAACCTCTGAGGATGCCTGCCATAGATGCAGCCGAAACATCAGGAGAGAATGCTTCTGGAACAAAGCCATACAGCCCAGAAAACACATTACAACGCAGTGATTCCAGCCATGAAAGCCTTCAACAATATACTCCTATTTACTGACCAATAAACAGATTCCTCCACTGGTCTGAGTATTTGCATGCAACCCAGTGATTCCGGCCATGAAAGCCTTCGACAATACAATCCCAGCCGGTTTACCAGCTGTTAGGATTTTGGGAGTTGAAGGCCAAAACATCTGTGGACCCACAGGTTGAGAACCACTGATGTAGAGGGAATGTGAAAAAGTCCCAGCAGACCCTCTCCTCATCTGTCACAGGAGATCCACCTCGAGGAAGAGTCGGGGAGAGGGAAAAGGAGGGAGGATCCTGGTTTTACCCAGATCCTTGCATCCTGATGAACAGTGGATCCCAATGGGGCATACGTATTTGTTGCTGGGGAGGGGAGGGAAGGGATATTGGGGTGGATTTCAGGAGGATCCCTTTGATCTGATGAAGAGAGAGGTCATGCTTTAAATGACACAACAGGTGGGGGGAAGAGAGGAGAGCGCAGAGACGTGCAAAGATCATGGGGTAGCAGGGAGCGGTGGTGGGACGGGGCAAAGGGAAGGGTAGCGAGGGAGGGAAGGGGATAAGGCTGCAATGTTGAGGGGCAAAGTGGGAAGGGGCGCGTCTCACCCAGTTTGAGGAGCCAGCCCTCGCGGTCGGGGTTAAAAAAAGTGTGTGTCAGGTCGTTCCCATCATCCTCGGGGATCTTGAAAGGCTCATTACGGATGCTGTCGTACAGGTTCTAGGGGGGAGGGGAGGAAGGGGAGGAGTTACAGGCAGACCACAGCCCTTCCCAAGGCAAAAAGGAAAGGAGAATGTGGGTGTAGGCGTTTGGCACAGAAACGGTACCATGTGGCATCAAAACACAGGCAAAACGATACAGGATAAAAGTGCCCGCAGCATTTTTCTTTATACTTTACAGTAGAGTCTCGCTTATCCAACAAAAACAGGCCAGCAGAATGTTGCCTCAGTCATTGTTTTACTGTTCTATTGTTTTGCTTGATGTTTTATTATTTGCTTATGAGTTTATTGTGTATTGTATGTTGTTGTTGTCGGTGGCCTTGGCCTTTGTAAGCCGCATTGAGTCCTTCGGGAGATTTTGCGGGGTATAAATAAAGTTAATAAATAATAATAATAATAATAATCAGCAATAATGTTGGATAATAGGGAGAAATTAAGGAAAAGCCTATTAAACGTCAAATTACGTTGTGATTTTACAAATTAAGCATCAAAAAATCATGTTTTACAACAAATCAACAGAAAAAAGAAGTTCAGTACATGGTAACGTTATGTCGTAATTACTGTTTTTACGAATTTAGCTCTAACTATACAGATATCTATAAGTACAATGTAAATACACAAACGTCCTGTTGCTATAAACTTCAGCAAAAGTATCAGTTCAATTAATCTTTTTTTTTTTGGTCGTGTCAGGAGCGACCTGAGAAACTGCAAGTCGCTTCTGGTGTGAGAGAATTGGCCGTCTGCAAGGACCTTGCCCAGGGGACGCCCAGATGATTTGATGTTTTATCATCCTTGTGGGAGGCTTCTCTCATGTCCCCGCACGAGGAGCTGGAGCTGATAGAGGGAGCTCATCCACGCTCTCCCCGGATTCGAACCTGCGACCTGTCAGTCTTCAGTCCTGCCAGCACAGGGGTTTAACCCACTGCGCCACTGGGGGCTCCCAATTAATCATGAGAATACGTAATTAATTCGTATAGTACACAAGCATTTTGAACAAATGCGATGGGACTATTTACACTGGTGTAACACACATAATATTCATGTTTTCCAAATAATTAGTTGGATTTTCCAAAAGTCGTGTGGACTGATATTAACTGAATTGATACTTTTGCTGAAGTTTATCGCAACAGGACATTTGTATATTAACATTTTACGAATTTAGCACCAAAATATCACAATGCATTGAAACAGCTCTGGATCTGGGCAGAAGGCAGACTGCATTAGATAATATAGAACATTGGAGAAGCGAAGGTTGGATGAGCGAGACTCTATTGTAAAAGAAATCATGACTGCAGCCAGAAGGTTATAGCAAAACAAGAAGCTGAATCTTCTCCCACGCAGGCAAAGGATTTCTGAAGAGGTGAAGATGAGCACCGAAGTTTGTCCTCCCCTCAAAATGCCCACCCTCCAAGACCCATTTACACAGGCCTTGAGCCTTGCATTGCCTCAACCAGTCTCTCTTACCCGTAGCAGTTCCTCGGGCAAATCTCCCCCATCGTTGATGCCACGGTTCATGGTTATGAACCTCTCGACTGTAGGCTTATCACGGACGTTGGGGTTGTGGAGGCTCGTATTCAGCATGATCACAGCAAAGGAGAGGACATAACAGGTATCTGGAGAAATGGGAGAAAACAAGGAGAGTACGGTAATGCTTTGTGACTCATGCACTTTACCATTAGCCCTATCCTTTAAGTTATTGTTGCACCAGTCCTTACACCCATGATGATAAACTGAATTTTGTTATTGTTTGTTAGATTTGATGCCTGTTAAATACTGTTATAATGCTGTTGTTTTACTTTGTTATATATTGTTGTTATGTAATATGTCACATTATAACTGTCTTGATCAGGCCTGGCTTCATGTAAGCTATCCCGAATCCCTTTGGGAAAATGGAGACGGGGTACAATTTTTTTATTTTTATTATTATTATTTGAAACAGAACAAGATGAGTCCACAGCAGACACTCTGCTGGCTGTTGTATTGGATCACACGTCAGACGCTTCTCAAGTGTCTAGGACTGTGTGATGTATCGGTGAATACATGCGTGCAGATCCCAGTAAGGTGACCTTTTGCAGCTGGCAGATGGTAATCTTGTCAACGCTGATTGTGTTTAAGTTAAGGTCAAGGTCTTTAGGCACTGCACCCAGTGTGCTGATCACCACTGGGACCACCTTGACCGGCTTGTGCCAGAGTCTTTGCAGTTCGATCTTTAAACTCTCACATCGTGTCAGCTTTTCCTGTTGTTTCTCGTCAATCCTGCTGTCACCTGGGATTGCGACATCAACAATCCATACTTTTTGTGAGGTCAGGAGTATTGTGTTTAAGTGCAGGCCAAGGTCTTTAGGCCTGCACTTATTATTATTATTATTATTATTATTATTATTATTATTATTATTATTATTTGTCCTCTTTCTTGTTTATGCAGACTTACAGATCTGTAGGATCCCATCAACAAGATACAGTTATAATTCAAAATACATTTCTTTTACTTTAAAATTTAATTATTTTTAAAATAAATTAATTGACCAAAGCGGACCTACGGATGTAAAAAAGTCATGCTAAAGCCAATGCTTTAGAAGTAACAAATGTTAAGATAGAGCAACAACATTTATTCGTTACTTCTAAAGTATTGTCTTTACTTGGCCTAGACCTAGCAACTGATGAAAAGCCCTCCCTCTATCCCACCTGCTATTGCTATGGCCTCTGAGGGAGAAAAGAAGAGGCAGTGCCTGACTTCTCAAGTTCAATTAGTCTGCAATGCCTGAGAAGTCAGCCATAGCAGAGCACCTGATGAACCAAACTGGACACAGCATTGTATTTGAGAACACAGAAATGCTGGAACACTCTAACAACCACCATGTCAGGCTACACAGAGAAGACATTGAAACCCAAAAGCATGTGGACAATTTCAACAGAAAGGAGGAAACCATGAAAATGAACAAAATCTGGCTACCAGTATTTAAAAAATCTAAAATCAGTAAATAAAGAGCAACATTCAAAAAGCAGGGTAATTCCAGACAAAAATCAATCAGGACCAGCTAACACCTCCCAACATCTCCCAGGCAGCAATCAGCCAGGCTTTGAAGCTGTGAGGCCATTAAATGCTAATCAAGGTGGTAAAACGTCAGGAGAGAATGCTTCTGGAACATGGCCATATATCCTGGAAAAGTCACAACAAGTCAGTGATTCTGGCCATGAAAGCCTTCGAGAACACACACAGCAACTCAGTGATTCTGGCCATAAAAGTCTTCAAGAACAATTACGTTTTAATTGCTTTTTACCTCATTTAGATTTTTAACTAAATGTTATTCAAATGTTGAATTGTTGAAGGCATTGAATTTTGCCTCTGTAAGCCACCTTGAGTCCCTTTCAGGATCGAGAAGGGTGGGATATAAATATAGTAAATAAAATAAGATTAATTTTTTTAAGCTACATGTTACAACTGACATTTTTGCTTGACTGATTACTTTTCAGCCCTGCTTGCTCTCATGGGAAGAGTAACTAAACCCTTTGCAAGAGCATGCAATACCTGTGGATTGAAAGACCCCCGGGTTGCAGAGACAATACCGCTGGGCAAAGGCCTCCATCATACGATCAATTTTCTGAGCTTCTCCTGGCAATCGGAAACTCCACAGGAATTGCCTGGAAAAAGAGTGGGAGGAAAAAAATGAATAAAATAATACAGAACTGTCCTGAGTCAACATGCTACAAATACCTTACCCATCCATTTTTTTCTTTCTAATAGCAATGTTTCAACTATGTAAATTAATCATTTGCTGATCAAGGCCCTGCTCTCAATCCCGCTTCTGTCACAAATGTGCTTGGCGGGGATGAGAAACAGGGCCTTCTCGGTGGTGGCCCCTCGCCTGTGGAACTCACTCCCCAGCGAAATTAGGTCAACTGCTTCCCTCCTGTCCTTCAGGAAAAAGTTGAAAACGTGGCTATGGAACCAGGCATTTGGATAGTAGGACTTCAACTCCTAGGATATGGTCATGGTAAAGGATGGTCGGAATTGTAATCTCACCATAATTGCAATCACGTTTGGAGAGGCAAAAGCTATTATACAAGAGAGTGCCTCAGTACAGTCACATTTATATTTAAACTATCAGTACATTTGACCGAATGTTCTCAATGTGGGACAAATATTGGTGCACCAGAAAGTCTCACATCAGAAGAATGTGTGGGACCAAGGATCAAAGGAATAGTTTTTCCTCTATCACAAAAATTAAGTATTTAAGGAAACAGCCAGTGTCTCTTCTGCTTGTGCCTCGTGACATGCTGCACAGATGTCTGCCTGGAGTAAGAAACAAATACAATAGTGCCAAAAACACCTGATTCTGACTAAGCAAAAGTTCAGCTTTCTGGTGCCATTTTCTCTTTGGGCACAGGGAAAAAAGGGACTGCGGCTGAAAGGATGTGGACTTTCCACAGAACACCGTTCTAATTGAGGACTGAGGAGCTTCATGCTTACCTGAGTGCTTGCACAAGGTTGAGATCAGTAAATTCATGCAAGTCGACAAAGGCGTGGAGCACAGCAATATTAAAATCCTCCCTGAATAAAATAGGGAGAGAGTTCAAATTAAACCGGTCCCTTTTGCCAAGACTGATATCATCTCAATTGTCCCCCTGCTTTAATCCCTTCACTTGGAAAGGCCCAAATCCATTTCTAGGTTCATCCTTTTGGGCTCCTCCCAAATAGACTTCTTCTATTTCTACCTCATCCAGGGCTTTATCATTTTACCTTGTCCATTTGGCCCGCCCATTGTGTTCGATTTCATATTATGTTATTTTGCTTTGTTTACTCTATTTTGCTGCTGTATGTATTTTATTGTGATGTGATTTTTGTTGTTTGCATTTTGTATTTTATTTTGATATTTTGTATCTTTGGGCTTGGCCTCATATTAGCTGCCCCGAGTCCCCCTCGGGGAGATGGTGGCGGGGTATAAATAAAGATTATCATAATAATAATTATTATTACTATTCATACTTCCCTGGGTCAACCTAAGTTCAGATCTTTCTCCCGTGTTCCGGGAAGTTCTAATGCTCCTGTAACAGGCCTGCACCACATTCAGTAAAGTGAAAGGTTTCCCCTGACATTAAGTCTAGTCGTATTCGACTCTGGGGAATGGTGCTCCTCTCCATTTCTAAGCCAAAGAGCCAACATTGTCCGTAGACACCTCCAAGGTTATGTGGCCAGCATAACTGCATGGAACGCTGTTACCTTCCTGCAGAAGCGGTACTTATTGATCTACTCACAGGTGCATGTTTTCGAACTGCTATGTTGGCAGAAGCTGGGACTATCAATGGGAGCTCACCCCTCTCCCTGGATTCGAACTGCCAATCTTTTGGTCAGCAAGTTCAGCAGCTCAGCAATTTAGCCCACTGCGCCACCAGCGGGCCCTGCACCACATTATAACCAGCCAAATTTCTTTGGCTCGTCCACCTCCTTTGTGTCCCCATCCCTTCTCACCGCTCGCCCAAGTAGTCGCCAATGGCTGTCTTGTTGAGTCCTTCTCCTTTGTACAGGAAGCGGGCGATGTCCTCAGGAGTAGAACGCAGAAGTTCATTTTCCACCAGGAACTGGATTCCCTGCAAAATATAACAAAGAATATGAGAATCATGGTGCCCAGGCATCTAGGTTCAACTCCACCCCATCCAAATCTTTAACCTTGGGACATACACCCTCCTCAGAAACCTTCTAGATCCTCAAAAACAGAATTATGACTTGATCCTGCTGGCAGAAAACCCAAGATTTATGATTCCTGACAGCTCCTGTTCCATCAAAACACACTTATGCTAAGTTTCCCACAAAACCCTGAAATGCGATAGCATGTGTCCCCTGTGCGCACTTACTTTTTTGGGATCCATGTTAAATTTCTTGCGGCCCATCCCCATCTTTCGGTTCCTCTGAAGGGTTTTACTATCCAAGAGAAGAAAGTACACATATTGACCCTTCGATTCTTCACAAAAGGGATTTCAAACATCAACAGTGTTTCAGACGTTGAGTATTATGAGAGCAGATGTATGCGAGGCTTGCATCTTTTAATTAATTTTATTTCAAAATGGAAAACTTTAACAAAGGGAGAAAGGGGAGTGAGCTTTTTAAAAATACAGTTTTCAAGGAATATAGAAAATAATCTGTTTACTACAATTTGAGATATTTTCAATGAACACTCAAGCGATAAATTTCTGAGAATTTGAAAAATTGTTGCTAGTTATGCCAACTTGTTTCCCTTAATTACAATACTCCAAATTTAGACCCCTTCCACACATCTGACAAAAAACCCACCTGCTTTGAACTGGGATATATGGTAGTATGGACTCAGGGCCCTTCCGCACAGCCATATAACCCAGAATATTAAGGCAGAAAATCGCACAGCATCTGCTTTGAACTGGGTTATCTGAGTCCACACTGCCATATATTACAGTTCAAAGGAGGTAATGTGGGATTTTATTCACCTGTGTGGAAGGAGCCCCAGATATTCCAGTTAAAAGCAGATATTGTGGGATTTTCTGCCTTGATATTCTGAGTTATATAGCCATGTGGAAGGGCCCTTAGAAAAAATAATTTTTTCAACCACAACTCAGGGTCCTTCCAAACAGTCATATAACCCAGAATATCAAGGCAGGAAATCCCACAATAACTGCTTTGAACTGGAATATATGGCAGCGTGGACTCAGATAGCCCAAGGCCCTTTCACTCAGCCCTATATGCCAGAATATCAAGACAGAAAACCCCACATTATCTGAGTATGGACTAAGATAACCCAGTTCTAAGCAGATAATGTGGGATTTTGTGCCTTGATATCCTAGGATATTTATTTATTTATGGCATTTGTAGCCCGCCTTTCTCAGCCTTGTGGCGACTCAAGGTGGCTCAAAGAAATATTATTTATTTACTACACTTATATACCACCCTTCTCAGCCTGCAGGCGACTCAGGGTGGTTCAGTCAGCATCAAAGGCATAAAATACAATTAAAACAGTTAATTCAAATATAAAACCAATAAAACAATCAATATCAATAAAAACATATATCAATTTGAGTCTCCTAGTTAAAATTTTAGTGTCATACCTTTATAAAAATAAAGTTAAAAACATTCAACTCAAAGTGTTGTTGTAGGTTTTTTCGGGCTATATGGCCATGTTCTAGAGGCATTTTCTCCTGACGTTTCGCCTGCATCTATGGCAAGCATCCTCAGAGGTAGTGAGGTCTACTGCAACTATTCGACTCAACATTAAAAAGTATATATAAACAATTTAAAAGCATATAATCATCGATGTTGTCCTCTTAAAGTCGTCCAGCCATTCCATGTTCATAGGGCTGTGTGGAAGGGCCTTGAATCCACGCTCAAGATAATGTGGGATTTTCTGTTTTGGTATTCTGGGAAATAGGGTCGTCTGAAAGGGCCTTGGGTTATCTGAGTCCACACTGCAATATATTCCAGTTCAAAGCAGATAATATGGGATTTTATTCAGCTGTGTGGAAGGGCCCTCAGATAACCCAGTTCAAAGCAGATATTGTGGGATTTTCTGCTTTGATATTTTGGGATATAGGGCTGTGTGGAAGGTCCCTCAAAGAACCTGGCTGTTCAACAGTGATCCGCAGGATGTCCCTGAGAATTCCACGGATGTTCATAAAAGGAGTGAATTAGACATACTACAGGCAAGAATTGAATTGAGACCTAATGGGGCCAGCCCAGTCATTCATCCCAATATTTTGTTATTTATACTCTAAGACAGCCATGCAGCCACAGAATCAAGGAGGACATGAGTAATATGAAAGACTCTCTCGCTTGGAATCAATCTAGAGCCGCCTGAAGTCAAACGGAAGCCCCTCACCTTCCCTCATTGGCTTCCAGCCCCTCCACTTCGTTCATGGCTTCACTCAGCTCATCTCGTAGCCGTTGGATTTCCACCAGCAGCTCCTGCTTACGCCGGCGGATGTTCTCCAGCTCAACCCTCTCTTCCGGCGTCAGGTCTGGAGGGACTGCATTAGCCAGAGGAAAGAGGATTGGAAAATGTAATCTTCTGGGTATTTAGACCACTCCTGGTGATGGCAGGATTGGAAACCATAGCCTAGAAAGTGGGCCTGGAATCAAAGGAAGCCCTATCTTTCCCTAAAAGCCCCATGGAAAAGAGATTAGATGACCTCCTGTACCTTTAATAGCTCTAAAGAAGCTCAGCAGAGGCAGCCTCTCTCAGCTGTTAAAAAAGCCTTCTTCTACATAGCAATTCAAGGCATGGGCATCTTCGACCCAAAAGATAAAGCCTTGCGAGTCTCCAGATATTTTGGCCTTAATTGCCCTCAGCACCACCTAACACACCACTTCATTGACTTCCCCGGCCCTATTATTGGCTGTTTGTACGATTCCATGCCCAGCCCTTTTATAGTTGGCCCACGTCAATTTAGTACAGTGGTTCTCAACCTTGCTAATGTTGCGACCCCTTAATATAGTTCCTCATGTTGTGTTGACCCCCCCAACCATAAAATTATTTTTGTTGCTACTTTTAGAACTGTAATTTTGCTAGTTATGAATCATAATGTAAATATCTGATATACTGGATGTATTTTCATTTACTGGACCAAATTGGGCACAAATACCTGATATATTTATTTGTTTTATTTATTTAGAGCTTTTCTATCACGTTCTTCTCTACCTTCGTGGAGGGACTCAGAACGGATAACAGCAAAATCCAATGCTATACAATAAATAACGTCATAAAACAACATACAATAAATACGTTCTAAAATACATATTAAAATAATTCATCACGTTAGGTGAAATTTGAATACTGGTGATGCTGGGGGGAGATTGATTTTGTCATTCGGGAGTTGTAGTTGCTGTCATTTATAGTACACCTACAATCAATGAGCATTCTGAACTCCACCAATGATAGAACTAAACCAAACTTGGCACACAGAACTCCCATGACCAACAGAAAATATTGGAAGGGTTTGGTGGGTATTGACCTTGAGTTTTGGAGTTGTAGTTCACCTACATCCAGAGAACACTGTGGACTCAAACAATGATGGATCTGGACCAAACTTTGTATGAATACTCAAATGGGAACACTGGTGGAGTTTGGAGAAAATAGACCTTGACTGGGATTTGCTGGGATTTATAGTTCAGCTACAATCAAAGAGCATTCTGAACACCACGAAGGATAGAGTTGGGTCAAACTTCCCACACAGAACCCCCATGAGCAACAGAAAATACTGTGTTTTCTGATGGCCTTCGGTGACCCTTCTGACACCCCTTCGCGACCCCCCCCCCCGGGGTCCTGACCCCCAGATTGAGAAATGCTGTTTTATTAACTCTGGCCATTGATTTTGTTGAACCTCTACTGATGGAGCTACAATTAAATGAGTTTTTAATATTTTTATCTTTAATGTGTTTTAGCACATTTTTTTGTATTTTATGATGTTCAATTGTTGCTACTTTGTTAAATTTAATTAGGTTTGTTATATTTCCAAATGTGCTTATTTTGATGTAATTGTCTGTATTGTTTTTTTCCTGCAATTGAATGTTTTGCCTTACATGTTGGAGACCGTCCTGCGTCCCTGTGGGGAGATAAGGCGGTATACAAATGAAGACTATTATTATTATTATTATTATTATTATTATTATTATTATCAACATGACAACAGACAATGGGAGCCACAATAAAAAACATCTGGATGGCAAATTGTTCCCAATCCTGTGAGACTCCAATGTCCAGAAGCACAATGAAAAGTATTCTTTTTTTCAATGACCACCCAATGCGTTATTACAGAAGTGTACTTTAGACTTCCCAATAGTATCTTATGTCTCATGTCCAGAGTGAATATACTCTGACTTCAGAAAAGTGGCTTTGCTGCCAGGAATCTGGCAGTCGTCCAGATTCCGTTGGACTGCAAGACCCAGCAGACCTGGGAAGTGGCGAGGAATGCTGGGACCTGAACTTTAGGACATTTAAATGGCTGCTTGAATGATTTCATCTCGTTGCCAAAGAACAAAGAAAAGGACAAGCCGAGATATAGACCTTGGAACAGGAAGGGACAGTGAAATAAAAGGAGGAAATGGAGAAGGACAGGATGCATATAAAAATAAACAAAAGGTTTCTGTGTTGCAGGCTGCAGTTTCTATGATGCAGTTTAGATAATTAATACTTTTTGTATTTAATTAGTGTAATTAATTAAATAAAATACTAATAATATTTAGCATTAATAATTAGTATTTCTTATAGGGTTGTTGTGAGTTTTCTGGGCCGTATGGCCATGTTCTAGAAGCATTCTCTCCTGACATTTCACCTACACCTATTGCTCTGTTGGAAACTAGAAAAATGGGGTTTATGTATCTGTGGAATGTCCAGGGTGGGAGAAAGAACCCTTGTCCGTTTGAGGTAGGTGTGAATGTTGCAATTGGCCACCTTGATTAGCATTTGATGACCTAGCAGTTTCAAGGTCTGGCTTCTTACTGCCTGGGGAATCCTTTGTTGGGAGGTGATTAACTGGCCCAGGTTGTTTCTTATCGGGAGTTCCCGTTTTCAGTGTTGTTCTTTATTTACTATTATGATTTTAGAGTTTTTAAAATACTGGCAGCCAGATTTTGTTCATTTTCATGGTTTCTTCCTTTCTCTTGAAATTGTCCCCATGCTTGTGGATTTCAATGGCTTCTCTGTGTAGTCTAACATAGTGGTTGTTAGATTGGTCCAACATTTCTGTGTCCTCAAATAATATGCTGCGTCCAGGTTGGTTCATCAGGTGCTCTGCTACGGCTAACTTCTCTGCTGAAATAGTCTGCAGTGCCTTTCATGTTCCTTGATTCATGTTTGGACGGTGCATCTTTGATTATTCTATTCATGATGTTTTACATTTCTAATCCCAAATCCCTTATTTTTAAATATTTTAGCTGCTCCTTCAGGCTATGTTCTTGCATACAAAAGGTGGAAGGTAAGGAACAACTAAAGCATACAAAGAATACATTAAAAATAGATCACCGCATGTGCACTCTGTAATCTCAATTAAAAGCAGAACTTGTGTAAAACTGTTCAAATGCAAGAACTGAAGAAGCATGGAAAAACAGGACTGGAAAACAACTGTATTTGACAGGAGTTTGTGGGGGCCACCACTAAGAAGGATGGAAAAAGTTGATATAGGAAAACTTTATTCTTTTATGAACACCATAAACTTCAAAGTTATGGATGCAAACTGAAAAATAAAATTCAACGGGACTCACAATCTGCAGCATATGAAGTTTGGGAAACTAACGTGAGTTTAACAACACCCATATATTGCATGCTATTTCTCTTACTACCCTTTAAGCACCCCTTTTGGGCCAATGATAAACACACCTTTTTCAATGGGAGCTTCAGTGAACATGCATTAGTTCACCTGGCTGTTTAGATCCAGGAAAAGGTAGCCATTGGAGATTTATTGCCACAGGATGTGTATAGTACAGAAACCAAGAAACTGAGCCATAATCCTTACTCTCATCTTTGACACATGGACTGCAAGACAGCCAGCCTCACCCAGTGGTTGTAAAGTAATAATTAGCAAACAGAATACCGCAAGGCTGAAATGAGCTGTGCTTACAAGAACATATAATAGATCCAGAGCATGGCTGAAGGGAAAATGAAACATAAAATAACTGGGCACAAACTACTTCAACCTGGGATCGCTTCCTTCTATGAAATACAGGGATATGTACAGTAAATGCCTGCACGATGGTGTGAACTTAGGCAATTCCATACTCATATACTTGCTAAAACCAAACCTTCAATTTATTTAAAGTGGCAGAAAAGATGCCCCTAGGCCATAAGAGATTTAGTAATAGACTGATAAATGAACCCTGAGGTCCAGCATACTTTGAAAGCTTTTATTACATAAATGCTAGCTGTAGTGGTAATAACAATTATACCAGCAGTAAAGTTGCAGGACTGAAAACTAGAGAGGGCTCCTGGACTTTGAATGATGGCACAGAAGAAAGAATTGCTGGATTGCTGTGAGTTTTCTGGGCTGTATGGCCATGTTCCAGAAGCATTCTCTCCTGACATTTCACCCACATCCATGGCAGGCATCCTCAGAGGTTGTGAGGTCTGTTGGAAACTATGCAAGTGAGGTTTATTTATCTCCAGGGTGGGAAAAAGAACTCTTGTCCGCTTGAGGCAAGTGTGAATGTTGCAATTGGCCACCTTGAATAGAATTTCATTTTCATGGTTTCCTCCTTTCTGTTAAAATTGTCCACATGCTTCTTGTTGTGTGCTTTTATGTCATCTCCAACCAATGGTAACCCTAAAGCAAACCTGTCAAGGGGTTTTCTTTGCAAGATTAATTCAGAAGAGGTTTGACATTGCCTTCTTCCAAGGCTGACTTGCCCAAAGGTCACCCAGTGGGTTCCTAGAGCTGAGCGGAGGATTGAATCCTGGGGTGCATCTACACTGGTGTAAGAATGCAGCTTAATACCATTTTAACTCTCAGCGTTCAATGTAATGGAATTGTAGGATTTGTAGATTGGTGAGGGACTTTTGAGCAGAAAAGGCAAAGGGCTATGCAAAATCATAACTCCCAGGATTCCTGAGCCATAACAGTTAAAGAGGTATCGACTTGCATTAATTCTATAGTGTAGATGGGAGATCTCCTGAATCAAAGTCATTGCGTCGTAGTGGTTTGAGTGTTGGAGTATACCTCAAAGAGACCCGGATTCAAACCCTCATTTGGCCACTGGTGACCCTGGGGATGTCGCACTCTCTCAGCCTCAGGCCCCGGCTACAATGCCATATAATAATACAGTTTTGGAATACAGGTAACTGCATTGAACTGGGTTATATGAGTCTACACTGCCATATAATCCAGTTCAATGCAGTCAAGATGCATTATATGGCAAAATAGATAGAGCCTAAAGGAAAATCCCTTCTGAACAAATAGCATATGCTGACAATTGTGTGACAAAGCGACACCTGCTGAAGTTCTCTCTTCCATGAAACCATTAAAAGCATAGCAAAAGTCTAGTTTTCAGCCTGGCAGCTCATAATCTACTTTGCATCCCATAAATGAGATATAAAATAATACTAATTTATTGGAAATTATTAGTAAGTGTTATTATAACAACGTGGGTTGGGAATAAAATAAATCTTGCGGGAGCTAAATTCTTAGCAGACTCACAATCTCCCTCCTCCACAGTATTAGCCATAATCTTATTAATTAATTAGTTAATTAAATAAATTTATTTATTTATGATGCTTATATGCCGCCCTTCTCACCCCGAAGGGGACTGAGCAACTTAGACAAGATATATATACATACAATATTTATTATTTGGGGTTCTTTTACCCCGCCCTTCTCACCCCGAAGGGGACTCAGGGCGGCTTACAGAAGCAAAGGCACAATTTGATGCCTGCATCATAAAAACAATCATACACAAAATTACATCAATACACAGTTAACATAAAACATAAAATCAATAAAATCAATAAAACCAAATACAAACCCAGATTCTCCTCTTACATGGCCAGCGTTCGCTACTCATAGATCTAGTTTTACGTTCCACTTCATCAATCCTGCTGGTCTTACTCGCCTGGTTGTCTGATTTAATTGCCGGAGTGCCCAAAGGCCTGGTCCCATAACCAAGTCTTCACCCTTCTCCTAAAGGCGAGGAGGGATGATGATGCCCTGATTTCCCCCGGGAGTGAGTTCCACAGGTGAGGGGCCACCACTGAGAAAGCCCTGCTCCTCGTCCCCACCAGCCTCACTTGTGACAGTGGTGGGGTCGAGAGCAGGGCCTCCCCAGATGATCTCATTACATTATTAGCATAGCACAATATCAGTATTATATATTACTATATTGTATTATATCATTATATTGTAATATTATTGGTAATATTACATGTAATATAAAATATATAATTTTAATACTCATATTATTATTAGTATTTATTGTATTACATTATAATATTATAACTATTATAGGTATATACAATGTATTATAAGCAGGAGACAAGATGGAACTGCCTTCCTGGGCCCCCTCTCTTCACTTCCCCCTTCTCTGAAATGGTACAGTCCCTCATTTAAATTCTAATAGGTTTCTTGACACCTCCCTTTACCTCCCCCTATTAACAAAATGGTACGACCCAGAATTCCCCCAATGTTCAAGCCACGATAGGTTTTAATGGCCCCTTTTGATACAGTAGGGAAATTTACTTCACCCTTATTGCTATGGTACAGCCCAGTCTCCCCCTACACTAGAATGGTACAGTCTGGAAAAAAGCAGACCCGCCGGGTAATTATAACTGAATGAATTCAGGTCAGGTCAAACCATCATACAATTAGGGGTCTCCCTTCTTTCATACAATGGATTCGCCTAGCTATGTATCCCCCCTTCTGTTTCGTTTGGTTCGTTCCAGCCCCACCCCTCTTTGTAAGGATCGGCCCCGCCCCCTAGTCTCGCACAGAATGGTTCAGCCCTCCCAGCCTATTTTCCCATTGTAGTTACAGGGTGGGTCTCAAAGCAATCAGTACCCCCCCCCCTTTTACGCCCCTCAATGGTTTGATCGAGGGGGACCTACCATAGATACCGTCCTCCATGGTGACCAGAGTGTCCCCAGAGCTCCCCACTTTCTCCTTGTCTCCTTTCTTCGGGGCTTCGGCGGCTGCGCCTTCCTCCCGCAACCGCCTGGCCTTACAACTGGAAAGGAAAGTTCCGCCTCCTCACGAACAGCGTGGCCAATAGGAAGGAAAGATCTCGCGAACCCGCTTTTGAGTGCGAGGCGACGGAGCCAATAGGAGCGGTAATGATTACGATAGACGTCTATCTCAACCAATCGGCGCCTCCGTGGTTGATATTGACAGGGGCGTTGTCCAATTAAACTTTCCCTTATTGCCCATCTGATAGGCTTCGTGATATGCGATAGACTTCGAACTGTCCCACCTCTTCATAGATTTGGAAAAGTCTGTACATCTATGAACCGCTAGATGTCACCTTTCGAACCCGCCCTCCTTCCCGCTTAAGTGTCAATCAGGGTAACTGACGTTTGAGCCAGCCAATAAGAGGGAGGGAAAGCAGCTCCGCCTTTTGAGTAAATTAGAAAGGGTGTAGACTGTTGCTAAGAGGGGCCTAGGCGGTTGCTATGGACTCAAATAGCCAGTAGCTTTGTTAAAGAAAGGAGGACTCTTGCACCTTTGGGTTCATTCCTATAGCTTGTATATTTATTTATTTATGACATTTATATGCTGCTCTTCTCACCCCGAAGGGGACTCAGAGCACCTTACAAGTTATATATACATACAATATATTTTCTTTTCTATTAATATTGTTGTTGTTGTTCATTCGTTCAGTCGTCTCCGACTCTTCGTGACCTCACGGACCAGCCCACGCCAGAGCTCCCTGTCGGCCGTCACCACCCCCAGCTCCTTCAAGGTCAGTCCAGTCACTTCAAGGATGCCATCCATCCATCTTGCCCTTGGTCGGCCCCTCTTCCTTTTGCCTTCCACTTTCCCCGGCATAATTGTCTTCTCTAGGCTTTCCTGTCTCCTCATGATGTGGCCAAAGTACTTCAACTTTGTCTCTAGTATCCTTCCCTCCAGTGAGCAGTCGGGCTTTATTTCCTGGAGGATGGACTGGTTGGATCTCTCGCAGTCTCTTTTGCTTCGATCATTTTGTATGCGCTTGATGCTGGGTTAGTTGTGGTGCACCAGACTGGTGTAAATGTATCTCTTGGTCTCCGTCGCAATAATCTAGTAGGGGAGGTGTGAGTCGTAGATTAGATCTGGGAATATTGGTTAGGAAAGGTCTTTATCGGTTTTACGGATTCTTTTTTACTCATTATATCTTATCTGGCTTTTTATATATTCCACTCCGCTTATTTCCTCCTTTTCCCCCGCGCGCTGCGCTTTCTGATATCCTCTCCAACCACTGATTGCGTGCCTTTTTCTAAGTTTCTTGTGGCTGGGGGGGCGCAGAAGATGGCAGCGAGATATCGTCGAGGGAAGTAGAAGGACCCCCCTTGGATCTTGGGGTCCGTAGCGTTAGAGTTATGGGCTGTGCTACTAGCCTTTTAGATTTCATCATCAAATTCCATCTTCTTTTGATAAAGTGCGCAAGGTTTTGAGTGATTTATTTGTTGAGGTGTGAGGTTGGAGAATGAGAGGCGGAGGTTGGGGAGGGTGGCGATTACTTGAGTTTATAGTGGATACGAGTGGCATCGCAGGTGATTGGACC